AACCAGAATCTGCCTGCTGTTCACGATTTCGTCTTTGAGATGGGACCGGTTCACTCAAACGGGTACGAAGTGTGATAGCCCAGTGTTCGTGAACGCCCATCGCTTATTTCGATTCCTAACCAATCACAACTATGCTGCCTCTATTGTATATTTTGTGATGCTGCCGTAACAAGCCAAGAAAGTTAGGTTAGAAGTGAGGACTTTGTATTTTTGTTTTTTTGTATTTGTGTTCTATTTATACGTAAAAGAATATCGTTGCAGAGCAATGGATAATGTTAAGGAAACTTCGTGTAGGCTTTGCCTTAAAAATATAACCGATGAAAGTTTTGAAGTGGTAGACAACATTATCAGAGAAATGTTAGATATTCTTTTGCTGAAATTGGTGAGTCATTGAAAAATAATTAAATTTGAACCTAAAGTCTCAAGTATAAAGCAGCTTTTAGAATTTACCTTTTATTTTTCACTACACTTATCCTTTTTCTGTTTAAAGTTGCATATTTTTCAGAAATTTGATAGCCTGAGCAAAAAGGTTATATGTAANTACGAAGGCTGTCCAGGCCTACACGAGATGAGGCAGGATAAAGAGGGATAATCCCCCTCGATCACAAATCATTGAGGCCAATTTCTAGCCATAGAATAATGGCGCGCGCTCATTTCGATTCCTAACCAAGCACAACTATGCTGCCTCCATTGTATATTTTGTGATGCTGCCGTAACAAGCCAAGAAAGTTAGGTTAGAAGTGAGGACTTTGTATTTTTTGTTTTTTGTATCTGTGTTCTGTTTATACGTAAAAGAATATCGTTGCAGAGCAATGGATAATGTTAAGGAAACTTCGTGTAGGCTTTGCCTTAAAAATATAACCGACGAAAGTTTTGAAGTGGTAGACAACATTATCAGAGAAATGTTAGATATTCTTTTGCTGAAATTGGTGAGTCATTGAAAAATAATTAAATTTGATCCTAAAGTCTCAAGTGTAAAGCAGCTTTTAGTATTTACCTTTTATTTTTCACTACACTTATCCTTTTTCTGTTTAAAGTTGCATATTTTTCAGAAATTTGATAGCCTGAGCAAAAAGGTTATATGTAACGTTTGCAGAAGAAAGTTAAATAAGGCGTCAGAATTCAAGTCAACGTGTCTGAATACCGATAACACAATTATTCCTTATGTGGATAGCCAAAAAATGTTACAGCTTGACCTAAGAGAAGTGTACGTGCAGGAAAAGAAAAGTGAATTAGTTTGCAGTCAGAAAATATGTCGATTGTGTATACACCTAGTAGAAAGTGAGTATAGGTGCATAGGTGATGGGGAACTTGAAGCTATTGAGAAATTGGCTCCTGAAATGGTACGAAAAATATTAATTACTTGCATATTTTGTAATTTAACAAAACTGCTTTGTAGAATATAAATATCGTCAAAGATCCCGTTGTTTGTAAGCCATGCTTTGATTCTCTGTGTACTCACAACAGTTTCCTTAAAGATTGCTCAGAGGTAGAAGAGAAAATTAAAAGTAACTTTTATAGTTCAGCCACAGGAAGTCAAATAGATACGTCTCCACTGGAATTATTCGTTAAAACTGAAAACCTGGACGAGGAATTCGATATAAATGAGATGGAAATGTCGATAAAAGCTGAAAGTATTGACATAAAATCGGAAGATGAGGAAAGGAGGTAAGAGAAGACTATTTTAATATTAATTTAAAAAATAGCAGAGCATTGTTTTGATATCTAGGGACGCGAACGATATTTCGATACTTACGGGCTATCGATACTTTTGTTGCGATACTAAGGTATTTTGGTATTGATACATTCCTTTCGATACTTTATTAATATCGATGCTGAGAGAAAAGTATCGTATCGTATTTTCATTGTCTTTACATACAATTTTACTTTGCAAAATTCAAAATTTGGTACGGAATACGCGGGGTATGGAAAAATGCCATGTTTCAATGATGATGAATACATATGGAGAGAGCGTGAGAACTGCAATGACAATACGAACAATTGTAAAGGGCAGATTGAGGCTATAAATAATATTTTATTTATTAAATACATATTTTTTTTACTTGAAATTTGCGAAAATGCGTTACTTAAACGATATTTATTGTTCATTACAGATGTTCTGAAAGCTATATAAAGTATACAGTGTTATAAATAGTGCAGATTCTAGTGTTGTCAAATGTCCAGGTTAGAGTTTTTCTCGAAAACTAGTTTCGGCCGCACAAAAATGCCTTCAGATTCGTGTTTAGCTTGAAAATAGGGAAGTAGGAAAAATTTTGTGGCGGTTTGGGCATTTTACGCTATAGTAAATAAATTGCCTTTATCTTTATTTTTAATATATTTAAAAAAGTTCCATGAAATAGTTTAGAAAGTAGGCACAATTTTCTTACAAATTCCACGACATGATGAACTGTTATGAACTTGTGGTACCAAGATTTAGAAAATCTTGGAACCTACCTAATAATTTTATTTNTAAAAGTAACTTTTATAGTTCAGCCACAGGAAGTCAAATAGATACGTCTCCACTGGAATTATTCGTTAAAACTGAAAACCTGGACGAGGAATTCGATATAAATGAGATGGAAATGTCGATAAAAGCTGAAAGTATTGACATAAAATCGGAAGATGAGGAAAGGAGGTAAGAGAAGACTATTTTAATATTAATTTAAAAAATAGCAGAGCGTTGTTTTGATATCTAGGGACGCGAATGATATTTCGATACTTACGGGCTATCGATACTTTTGTTTCGATACTAAGGTATTTTGGTATCGATACATTCCTTTCGATACTTTATTAATATCGATGCTGAGAGAAAAGTATCGTATCGTATTTTCATTGGCTTTACGTACAATTTTTCTTTGCAAAATTGAAAATTTGGTATGGAATACGCAGGGTACGGAAAAATGCCATGTTTTAATGATGATGAACACATATGAAGAGGACGTAAGAACTGCAATGACAATACGAATAATTGTAAAGGGCAGATTGAGGCTATAAATAATATTTTATTTATTAAATACATATTTTTTTTACTTGAAATTTGTGAAAATGCGTTACTTAAACGATATTTATTGTTCATTACTTACAGATGTTCTGAAAGCTACATAAAGTATTTTTTTCTTGAAAACTAGGATCGACTGCACAAAAATAACTCCAGATTCGTGATCAGCATCCTTTAAAATAAGAGAGTAGGAAAATTTTTAAGTATCCATACTTTTTGTTTTGATCCGAGTAAGTATCGAAAATTGATTTTGATACCGATACTGATATCAAGTATCGATACTATCCTTTTGAACCATGTCCGTACTGATACCTCGTAACTTATATGATTAAATTTGTATCATCTGATGATGAACTAACAAATTATGGGTTTATGTCAGTTATAAACGGCATCGTACAAATTTTTAAACAATCGTCAAGAGTTAGGTTTAACAAATTATTTGAGATCATTATAAAACAATCAGTATGGCGTTAAATCAGATATTGGTACAACGAAGGCTACACTAGATTTCATTCATTCATTAAATTTTTTAACTTCTTGGAATAAAAAGGATAGATCTTACCGAGTTACAAAATAATTAGTGCTTACGTAAGCAGATTGCAAGAAGAATGCCAGGTTGGCCAGGTTTGTTAATTTTTACTATCCTGTTTAATAACACATAATTCATTCAAGTCTAAGAGTCACGGCGATAGGAATAATAGCAAGCACTGAGTTGTTTCTGCGCGGTGGTATAAATGTATAATCAATAATCACATCTCATTAACTTCGAATGTAAATATGCCCCTTTTTTTTGAAACGCAATATTTCGGCATGTGTCACCTGTAACCTCTTAAAATTAAAACTCGATTTTCAAAAATACCCTGTATTTGCAATTTTTTCAGCGACATGCTACTTCAGAGTTCCAATGTTGTACTATTCGAGGAGAGCTACTGTAAAGATGAGGAAGGGTATGGATGTAAACATGAGAATGGATCAGAAGTCGAATCCAAGCAGGAGCGCAAAGTATTGTATAAATGTGGGTCCTGTGACTATAAAACTGAANATGGTTGTCATCACAAAACTGAAAACACGAACACTGGCTAAATACCCTCTGGGTGAAGGCCAAAAAAAGAAGAAGAAGAAGTCATTACGAATTCAAATGGCGAATTCAAATTACAAAATTTTTATTTATTAAATATATTTTTTTTACTTGAAATTTGTGAAAATGCGTTACTTAAACGATATTTATTGTTCATTACAGATGTTCTGAAAGCTATATAAAGTATTTTTTCTCGATAACTAGGATCGTCCGCACAAAAATAACTCCAGATTCGTGATCAGCATCCTTTAAAATAAGAAAGTAGGAAAATTTTTAAGTATCCATGCCTTTTGTTTTAATCCGAGTAGGTATCGAAAATTGATTTCGATACCGATACAGATATCAAGTATTGATTCTTTCCTTTTGATCCATGTCCCTACTGATACCTCGTAACTTATATGATTAAATTTGTATCATCTGATGATAAACTAACAAATTATGAGTTTATGTCAGTTATAAACGGCATCGTACAAATTTTTAAACAATCGTCAAGAGTTAGGTTTAACAAATTATTTGAGATCATTATAAAACATTCAGTATGGCATTAAATCAGATATTGGTACAACGAAGGCTACACTAGATTTCATTAATTCATTAAATTTTTTAACTTCTTGGAATAAAAAGGATAGATCTTACCAAGTTACAAAATAATTAGTGCTTACGTAAGCAGATTGCAAGGAGAATGCCAGCTTGGTCAAGTTTGTTAAATTTTACTATCCTGTTTAATAACGCATAATTCAGTCAAGTCTAAAAGTCACGGCGATAGGAATGATAGCAAGCACTGAGTTGTTTCTGCGCGGTGGTACAAATGTATAATTAATAATTACATCTCATTAACTTTGAATGTAAATATGCCCCTTTATTAGAATAATTTTTTGTGAAACGCAATATTTCGGCATGTGTCACCTAACCTCTTAAAATTAAAACTCGATTTTCAAAAATACCCTGTATTTGCAATTTTTTCAGCGACATGCTACTTCAGAGTTCCAATGTTGTACTATTCGAGGAGAGCTACTGTAAAGATGAGGAAGGGTATGGATGTAAACATGAGAATGGATCAGAAGTCGAATCCAAGCAGGAGCGCAAAGTATTGTATAAATGTGGGTCCTGTGACTATAAAACTGAAAATGAGACATTAGTTCAGAGGCATCTGTTGAAGCATGAAAATCCCTGTCAGGTTCAAATATACAGGTGTAAAGACTGCGATTACAAGACTACATACAACAGTTATATCAAACGGCACCAACTGAAACATAAAGATCCTTCGCAGGTTCAAATGTACAGGTGTAAAACGTGCGATTACGAAACTAAATGCAAGAGTTATATTAAAAAGCACCAACTGATGCATAAAGATCCTTCACAGGTTCAAATGTACAGGTGTAAAGACTGTTATTACGAAAGTAAATACAAGTATGCTATCAAAGTGCACCAACTGAAACATAGAGATCCTTCTCAGGTTCCAATGTACAGGTGTAACGACTGCGATTACAAGACTACGTACAACAGTTATATCAAACGGCACCAACTGAAACATAAAGATCCTTCGCAGGTTCAGATGTACAGGTGTAAAACCTGCGATTACGAAACTAAATACAAGAGTTATATCAAACAGCACCAACTGAAGCATAAAGATCCTTCACAGGTTCAAATGTACCGGTGTAACGACTGTGATTACGAAAGTAAATACAAGTATGCTATCAAAGTGCATCAACTGAAACATAAAGATCCTTCTCAGGTTCAAATGTACAGGTGCAACGATTGCGACTACGAAACTAAATACAAGATGAATATCAAAAGTCATCAGTCGAAACATAAAGATCCTTCGCAGGTTCAAATGTACAGGTGTGACGAATGTGATTATGAAACTGAATTAAAGGGTAACATCAAAAAGCACCAACTGAAACATAAAGAGCCTTCACAGGTTCATATGTTCAGGTGTAACTGCTGTAATTACGAAACTAAATACAAGAATTATCTCAAAAAGCATCAATTGAAACATAAAGATCCATCACAGGTTCAAATGTACAGGTGTAACTACTGCGATTATGAAACTAAATACAGGAGAAGTATCGGACGTCACATGTTGAAGCATAAAGAGGTTTCATAAATGCAAATGGACCAGTATCCTTTGTTTATTTACAACCTAACACAAGGAGTCTTTGAGGAAACCTCAATTGATGCACAAAGAAAGATTTGCAGATGTGAATTATTACCATTCATTCGTTGTGCAAATAAAGAGCGACAAGTGTGGACATGACACCAATACTTTTTCTGTTTCTTACAAATTTAATTGAAAGGTCTAATGTAAAATAAATATACATGATTTTTGTGATAGAAAGCTGTTTACTTCATTAGCGGTTAGTAGTCACATTGAGCCACTCACAATTCAACAAAAGAGATTTTTAAAGATGATGTAAAAAGAATTAACTTACCCTAGTAACGAGTTGTAGCTTGACGCCAAAGTCTTCGATGTAAGACAACTTTATTACTACAACTGTGTTTGTAGGTATCATTATACTGATAATAAGCATGAAATGTCTCATAACTATGAAACCAGAAGAAAACAAAAGTACTTATCTCCTTTTATGTAAAAAAATTTGGGCCAAAGATCACTACTAGATTTAGCCCCTACAACTATACAGGGTGTCCCTGACAGGGATGGACAACGCTTGACCACAACTTCCTTGGATGAAAATAAGACTATTTAGCCTAGTTTCTTTCAAATAATTTGAAAACTAGTTTTCTTAGAAACTTCGAATTTGGTACAGTTATTTTTTTATTTAAGCGCAACATAAATAAAAAATTAGGTGATAATACATATACAGGATGTTCCCTTTCTAGTGCCTGTGTGCCACTGGCTATCCCGTAATTTTTTTGTGTGTACGCCAGTGAAGCCAGAATCTATATTTTTAAAAATAAGCACTATATTTTTATACATTAAGTATAGACAAAAATTCTGATTTGCAAAAAATAATTTATAGCTGCAGCCTCAAAGCATTGAATAATAATGAAGAAACGCCACATTAAAAAAAATAACTACACAGTTTTAGTCTTAGTATGATCAATCAATAAAATAAAAATAAAACAGTAATATTTTAAATAAACCCAAATTGATATTTGTAATCACATTAAAATAATATACAGTAAATGCTCAAAGTAACTTCCTTGTTCTTAAACGCATGCATTAGTTCTTCGAAAATTAAAATGAATTTTATCCAATAATTGTGTATTACCTCTAATAACATTAATTTCATGTTGTATTCTTTCCCATTATTCGTTTTCTGTATTTACTGAAAAGTGGTTGATCGAGGTGACCATTTTAAAGGGGCATTATTTCCTCTACCTATCCACCTGTTAGGATAGTAACCTGTAATAACTAGTCTTTTAATACTCTATTAACAGAACTTTTTGAAAGCTAAATGCCTTGAGGAATTTCTTCGACCCTTTCCAAAATTTGTTCCTCCAGCTGAATAGTTCCAGCTGTACGTTATCCACGATTTAATGTTACAGGTTAAAAATGTATTGTTTCCCGAAGGTGTCTCTCCGCATTAGCAAATGTTTTGTGATTTGGAATTCTTCGATTAGGAAATCTTTCAGCATATGTTCGAACAGTAGCACAACAATTTCCTTCACAATAGCCCAGAACTAATAACATATCAGTTTGTTCAGCAAAAGTATAAATTGCAATAAGAAACAAACTAAGCTAAAATTAAATCACACCTAGCTTGACATTGAACCTTTTAATTATTGTTATGAATTTGTTTCTTTATTATATGACACCTCGTACTAGACTGTTCTAATTATCTTAAATTTAATTTATATTATCTAATGTGTAAAAATGCCAATTTTACTCGAAATCCATAAACGTTTTCAAATTATTTGAGAAAAACTAGGTTATCTGTTCTATATTTAGAAGGCTATATCTCAGCAGGCGTGCATTTTTGTATATAGTTAAGTTAAGCTAAATAGTCTTATTTTCATCCAAGGAACCTGTGGTCAAGCGTTGTCCATCCTTTTCAGGGACACCCTGTATAACACTGTATTTGATTCCTTGAAAGTAGACAATCTATCAATGTATGCATTCAAGAGGACACCTCAGGAAACAATAAGTAAATATTTTTATTAATACAATTAATCCGAATCGACTGATTCCGTAAACATATAAATACTTTTTTGTCTGTATATTTATGTATTTCTTTCCTGTTTTGTTTTATTATACATGTTTGATGTCTTTCTGTGATAGGCATTTTGTGATGTATGTACATATTTTACTTTATGTTCTTGAACCAAGTGTAAACTTATCAAGTATTGTTTATTCGTATAACTTTTAAAATTGTTTTATGTTTTATATACTTTGTATTTTTCTGCAAGTAAATTATTTTATTCTTGGTTTTATAAACGTATTTCGAAATCTCAACCATTTTCGAAATGGTAGAGATTTTTTTATTAAAGTTGGTGTACGTTACATTGGTTGGAGTTTCTAAAGTAACGCAAGATTTGAATTGTGTGCCATTTTCATACCGAAGAGCTGGCAGCATTGTGCAGGATAACGTAGTAATCACGTTGCAGTTTTTATTAAATAAATAAATGGTATATTCAATGTAATTAAAATGTATATTATTATTAATATTACTATAAATTACATTTTAAAATAAAACTTGTAAATATGTAGTTTGTTGAATAAAGAAAAGAGCGAGCCGATGGCGTGCCCGAAATTTGTATTTCTTTGTTCGTGACTGACGGGCGTTGGAGCGGATGGAGTTTCATTTGTATGATTTTTATTTATTTTTATTGTTTTTAATTTTTATCGAAATACAGTTATCACAGTACGTACACAGTCACGGACGTTTATTTTTAATTTATTGAAATTTCCGGAAAAGAGGGGCCTTTTATATACTTTGCGCACGGACCCGGAGAGCCCTTGCTACGCCACTGGTTCGGTATTAACATCTAGAAGCTTTAGAAGTGTTTTGTTGTTTTCTAATTATAGGAGATGAAAAGACAAAGCTAGAGCATCTGGATGTCGATACCGAACTTGCCTTGTTTCGCGGGACATTTCTAACTAGAGATGGGAAATTCGGCTCATTTTGTTGGCCCGGTTCATAGTTCCCAGATGCTCTCGGGGAGCTGGTTTAATTGAGCCGTATTTGTCACAATTTATGCCTTCTCTTCTTAGTACACTGCGATCAGTGTCGTTATTTAGCATACACATGAAATAGATTGTTTAATAGAGTTATGTATTATTTTTATTCAATTATAGGACCTGCTTTCTGTTGACTATTAGCGATTAAGAAAATTTGTAAGAAAAAAAATTTTTTTTAATAAATATTTACTGCTTCTTGGATTTATTTCCTTGTATTTATTTGATTAAAAATGTGTTTCTACTACTTAATTATCGTTTGAGAAGGTGGCGCATGATACAAATACACTCGACACCTGCACTGTATGGATTGCGCAAGTGCGGGTGCACTATTCACGATTTCGTCTGTGACGGGATCGGTTCACTCGAATCGGTACGAATAGGTTATTTGTTATTTCGCCCATCTCTATTCCTAACCAACCACAACCATAAGATCATAAGAAGCCAGGAAGGTTAGGTTAGAAGTGAAGACTTTATATTTTTGTTTTTTGTATCCGTGTTCTATTTATACGTAAAAGAAGATTATTGCAGAACAATGAGTGATGTTAAGGAAACTTCGTGTAGGCTTTGCCTTAAAAATATAACCGATGAAAGTTTTGAAGTGGTAGACAACATTATCAGAGACATTCTAGACGTTATTTTGCTGAAATTGGTAAGACAGTAAAATATAATTAGATTTGATCCTAACAGTCTCAAATGTAAAGTAGCTTTTAGTATTTAACCGTTATTTTCCGCTACACTTATTTTTTTCTATTTAAAGTTGCATATTTTTCAGAAATTTGATGGCAAGTGCAAAGAGGTTATATGTAACATTTGCAGAAGAAAGTTAAATATGGCATCAGAATTTAAGTCAACATGTCTGAATACCGATAACACAATTATGCTTTATGTGGATAACGAAAAAATGTTACAGCTCGACTTAAGAGAAGTGTACATGCAACAAAAGAAAAGCGAGTTAGTTGATATTCCTTGCAGTCAGAAAATATGTCGATTATGTATGCACCCAGTAGAAAGTGAGTTTAGGTGCATACGTGAACAGGAACTTGAAGCTATTGAAAAATTGGCTCCTGAAATGGTATGAAAAATATTAATTACTTGTGAATTTTGTAGTTTAACAAAACTGCTTTGTAGAATATAGATATCGTCAAAGATCCCGTTGTTTGTAAGGGATGCTTTGATTCTCTGTGTACTCACAACACTTTCCTAAAAGATTGCTCAGAGGTAGAAGAAAAAATTAAAAGTGTTTTTGGTAGTTCTGCCACAGGAAGTCAATTAGATACTTCTGCTTTTGGTTTATTCGTTAAAACTGAAAACCTGGACAAGGAATTTGATATTGAGATGGAAATGTCGATCAAAGCTGAATATGTGGACATAAAATCGGAAGATGAGGAAAGGAGGTAAGAGAAGACTATTTTAATATTAATTTAAAAAATACCAGCACATGCTATATGATTAAATTTGTTCTATCTGATGATAAACCAACAAATTAGAGTTTATGTAAGTTATAAACAGTATCGTACAAATAAGCAGATTGCAAGAAGAAAGCCAGTTTGGTCTGGTTTGTTAATTTTTACGCTATTTTAAAGGTATTAGTTAATAATGTTCATCAGGGTTATAAATAATAATGAAGATATAAGAATATATACGAAGACCATAATTTCAAAACAAAAAAATTATTAGAAATGTTAATTCAAAAACCACTCTCATTGAATTAAAATAATTCATTGTATTGAACTTAATTAATTTAATCAGGCGCTTATCTCCTATAAATGATTATCTTTCTCTATGTTTACAATGTGTGAGCCTAATTTTGTATTCAATGAGGGTCCTTGCAGTTTGGAATCAACCCCCAAAGGGGTCGATATAGACCCCTTTGGGAATCGTTGTTCTAACATAAGGGGTGAGGGGAATGACAATTTAAAAGCCAAATAGAACTGACAGCTTTAAAGTACGAAGGTTTTTTCGGTTGTTATGCTGTGGCAAATGTACCTGGAACTACAGACTTACCAAAATGTCCCAACTGTTTGATTTGAATTTTTTATTATTATTATTATTATAGAGGGCAAAAAGTGGCCATGAGAAAATGTTCCTTTTTCAATATTACCTCAAGCAAGGCTGAAATGAAGCAAAAGGGGATTTCCAAAATTTCGGTTTTTCTCAAATATTTCGAAAACTAATCATTTTAGCCTTGATATTTTAGAGGCATAATGTTAGTCCGCTGGTTACGCAACTTTGCCCCCATTTAAGCTAGTTCGTATCTCTTACTGCTTTCGAGATCCCTGTAGTGAGAAGCGAATTTGTAACAGCCTGTATACGACAGTTTATTAGAGTAATTTTTTGTGAAACGCAATTTTTGGCATGTGTCACCTGTAACCTTTTAAAATTAAAAACCTGAATTTCAAAAATACCCTGTATATGCAATTTTTTCAGCGACACGCCACTGCGGACCTCCAATATTGTATCATTCAATGACTGTAAAGATGCAGAAGAGCATGGAAGTGGGATCCGTTTTTCAGCAAAACACGACAGCGATTCGAAAGTATATAAATATGAATCATGTGAGTATGAAACTGAAAATAAGAGGCACCTCTTGAAGCACAAAGATCCTTCAGAGGTCCAAATGTACAGGTGTAACGACTGCGATTACGAAACCAAATACAAATATGCTATCAAACTGCACCAGCTGAAGCATAAAGATCCTTCGCAGGTTCAAATGTACAGGTGTAACGACTGCGATTACGAAAGTATATACAGGAGTTACGTTAAAGATCACCAACTTAAACATAAAGATCCCTCACAGGTTAAAATGTACAGGTGTGATGACTGCAATTACGAAACTAAATTAAGGAGCAATATAAAACAGCACCAACTGAAACATAAAGATCCTTCGCAGGTTCAAATGTACTGGTGTAACGACTGCAATTACGAAACTAAATACAGCAACCATATAAAACAACACCAATTGAAGCATAAGGATTCGTCACAGGTTCAAATGTACAGGTGTAACGATTGTGATTACGAAAGTAAATACAAGAATGCTATCAAAAGGCACCAACTGAAACATAAAGATCCTTCACTGGTTCAAATGTACAGGTGTAAGGACTGCAATTACGAAACTGTGTACAAGATGAATATGAAACAGCACCAACTGCGACATAAAAAGCCCTCGCAGGTTCAAATATACAAGTGTAAGGACTGCGATTATGAAACTAAATACAAGAGTAATATTAAACTGCACCAATTGAGACATGAAGATTCTTCTCAAGTTCAGATGTACAGGTGCAACGAGTGCAATTACGAAACTAAATTAAAGGGTAATATCAAACAGCACCAACTAAAACATAAAGATCCCTCGCAGGTTCAAACGTACAAGTGTAACGACTGCGATTATGAAACTAGATACAGGAGTGGTATCGGACGTCATATGTTGAAGCATAAAGGGTCTTCATAAATGCCAATGTACCGGTGTGTGTTGCTAAAGATCAAACATTAGGAGTCTGAGAAGACCTCAATTGATGCATAAAAAAATGTTCGCGAGTGAATTATCACCTTTTGTTCGTTGTGCAAAATATTGGCAAAAATGGGGGCATTGAATAGCAACAAGTGTGGATATGACAAATCGTAAATATGCGATTATGAAGAAATATAATGATTGCGTTGAAATACATCGGTTGAAACGCGAACACCTGACCGAAACGAAGGCCAACAAGTGATTTTGGAGTAACAGTTGTTGAATTCGCTAAACCCCTAGTTATGCCAACACCTTCTCTGCTTCTCACAATGTGACAGTCCGCTAAATGTGTACATTTAGACAGCGATATTGTCAACTGTGTAGAACATGTAATTAAGGTTCTTATCACCTAAATGATCACTTTCAAGATAATCACGAAACTTTCAGTATAATTAATTATGAACGTGGTTGCATTTTATCACATAGTTTCTGAGTTATGCTTAATCGAAGTTGACTATATTTGGCATAACCCTAATGGCACCGCCTCCAGAAATCTTGTCGTTATGATGAAAACGTTGCTGTAACAGTTACAGCTACAGTAGCTAATAAATAACCCCATTCAATAAACTTCTAACTAGGCTAGGGCTAGACTAATTTGACTATATAAGACTATATGAGACAATAGAAATTCTTCTTCTTCTTCTACGAACTGTTCTAATTTGTGCAGAATTTAAGCTTTAAAACAGGTTAATACATTTGAAAATTGTTTTTCTAATAAAATGGAATGGACTCCCTGCAAACCCTTAGATTTATCTTCATATTTTTATTTCTCGTAGTTGTTTCAAGAAAGACGGACGAGATTTTTAATCAAAATATTACATGTAAAGTAACACTTTACAAGGACCAGATCATCTTTTCAAATTTACACACACCTTGGAATATCCAACAAAAAAAGAATTCTTTGGTCCATTTAGTGTCTTTTTGTGACGTATTTGGAGTTTATATATTTCGTAACTAGGTAAAGAGAACAAACCCCAAAATAAGTTTATTTATTATTAATGGAAAGATAAGATAGATGTTTCCATCATTTTTATTGTTATAAAATCCAGAAAAGCTTTCATTATAGTAATTTTTTTGTAGGTAATACTTTCATGAAGACGAAACTAAAATGACAGGACTACTACAAGGCGGCTATAAATCTAAAACAATTACAAACTTGCTTCGTAGAACAAAATGGCCTTTTCCAACAGTTGCTCCTGACTGCTCTCTGTCAAATCGGTAAAAGTTACATTGTCGTCTATTGCGTCAAAAATGCTCCTGTCGCGAGCCTTAAGCAACCCGGCTAATTCATCTTGCCGATCAGCAATCATGATAACTTTCTTGTGACCAAACGCACTCAGTACTCTCATAATAACGTCGCATAACTCTTGAACGTTTCGACTCTGTGTAGTTTTGTAAATTACCAAGTAAGAATATTGCTCCGATTCGAAAGCTTCGGCCATCATCTTTTGATTTTGTGCAGATTCGCTTGTACTAAGAAACAAAGTTTTGGATTCTTCGTTCGCCAAGAATTTGGACACCTTTAGGAGACTGAGAGTGTAATCGTTCTGAGGAACGATGTGTGATATTCTCTTGGTCGTGGCGACATGAAGTCTGTCTGGTTTTAAAGAAAGCTGGAGGCGCCGCAGCTTCGCTAGCAGCTTATCGCTTCGCAAGCCACAAAAAATTATCTTAGCAGGCAAAGGCGTCAAGTATTCACCACGAATCTCGTCATGCCACTCGATTATCTTACTGTTCAGATGTCTAGCGTAGTCAAGACCGTCGTATCTTTCCGACAAACCCATGTCTACGATTTTATCCTCAATGGCCTGCTCCAAACTCTTACCTCTGGGATACAAAGAAACTATTCGGAAGTCTCTGAGGAAGTTTTTAACGTTTTCTTCTGTGATTAGGTGTTGTTGGTCCACAACGCCATTATAATTGTTAAATTCTTGCAAAAGGACTGGTAGAATTTTGTCTTTGAACGTGTGACAGATACTTCTATTATCTTCGAAATATAACCAGTCATCTTCACTCAAACATCTTGAGTTCACGCAGTCTTCCAACTCATCAAATTTTATACCAGTGTTTGTGCAAAGCGTAACGCTATTTATCTTGTAGTTGTCCTTCACTTTTTGGTACGCGAAGAAGTATTTGGCTAAAGCGAAATCACTGAATTTACTATTATTACTGAACAAATCTATAAGGTGCACCCTTCTCTTCCTATTTCTCCATTTTGCTTGCAAAAGGAAAGCAGAGTTATCCGGCCCAAATTCTAGTACTAAATCATCAAAGTATCTTGCTCTAGAATCTTCGGTGCTTAAACGCCAATGATCGTACTTTTTCAAAGCATTTAACATCACGATACTTAGCAGGTTCATTTCGTACCAGACTCCACCCAAAAATGAAATAGGCGCCTTTCGGAAGCTTTTGGGTGGTGCACCCTTTTCCTCCTCACCAACTGACTGATACCGAGGAGTAAGTTTGGAATATACCGAATCTCTGAAGCCTACAACGGCTGTTTTTACTGGCCTTATGTTTGCTAATGGATAATCACCTAGAGCTTCCGTCAATGGTTCTATAATCTTCGGACTGTTTTGGTCTTCCAATAAGACAATCCTGGTGTTTTCCAAAGAAGCTATCACGGGAAGTTCGTCCAAAAGAACCTGCCGGTCTTCTCCAGCATATCTTACGTACTCCTTGAAGGTGTCGTCGTTTTCAACGCTCCAACCGTGTTTTTTGAATAATTCTTGTAAGGCGTCCCTCAAGAAAGTTGGTCTTGGTCTGGATTCGTAGTAACTGAGGAAATTTTGCCAGTTCATTCTGCGAACTGACGCTATGTCGTCGGTGTAGCAGTCACCGTTAGCTTCTCGATGACCAAATGCTGCGTGGAATAAGCTGTTGGTGTCGTTTGTTGTCGGCCTGACGTCCCATTTTCGCCCCTCATATTCGAAGGTCATTTCGCAGACTCGACTGTACCTGAAAAATGAAACAACCAATTAGTATCAGTCGAGTATCGTGATGGGACCGACATTATTATTTAAAATGTTGTCATAATGGGTACCAGGTAACGATATTGTTATTGTTATTGTTAAAAATGTTTGATAGTGATTCAGGGGAAATACCGAGCGATCCAGAATAATTGAAGCTGTCGTCACATATAAATGTTACGTAAGATATTAAAATTTACTTCCATTTGATCGAAATTACTTTCCATTTTCTTAGATTTCCTTCGGACACGATCTGTCAATTCAGAGACGTTCGTGCTGCCGTGTGCGCTTGCTGTTGTATTTATTTGTATTCACCGATTCTGTTTTTATTTTATATTAATCTTCTAAATAATATCAGTTTAGTTCAACGTTAATAATCTGTTAACTGTTAGTTTCGTGGTAAGTTTAACAGTAAGTAGAAAATTGCTAAAGAAACAAAAGTTACATAGTGTCGATGTATGCTTTCACCCTGGGGGTGAATGCCACCCCTTCTCGGGGGTGGCAATGAAGGCACCCATTTTTTATAATAATAATAATAATAATCTTTATTGCCCAACAGTTATAAACCATTTACAGAGCAAGCAAATAATAATTTTAGAAACAATTAAGTAGTGCCTAAATACAAATCAAATATAGACATACACACATATACACACATACCAAAGATGAAATAACAGTGCAAATGTTATAGTGATGCCTGTGCAACATTTCTTAATTCATTCATACCGCAAAAAAATATATCACATACTTCAGAGATTGCATTCCCATAAGAACTCATTACATTGATTGGTTGATTTTAATCACAAAAAATGCTCTATAACGTTTTTTCCAAAAATTAATATTTTTCGAGTTATTTGCGACTGAAAATGTCGATTTTTCTTCTAAAAAGTGCATGTTTTTCAACCATTTTTGATAAATAACTCTAAAACCTTGCATTTTATCGAAAAACCAATATAAAGCAAAAATAAAGCTTTTGAAATAACGAATCGATTCATTTTTTGTTGATTACCAAGTTATCATTCTCTAAATGTGATTGTTTATTTCTCGGAAAGTAAAATCGAACTTTTACCGTAAAATAATGGCGAAAGAACTAATTTTTCGAAGAAAATGAATATAACCTTTTTTAAAGTGCTTGGAAAGACCTTTAAAATGCTTCTTGAAAAAATTTCGTAGCTCAAAAACTCGCGGAGTTATGTTGGAAAGAAAATAGTCATCTCATTTTTTCGGTGAAAAAAAATCAACAAAATCTATGGCTAAACCATAAAAATAGAAACTAAGCGTAATCCATGTACAGTTGACTTTATTTAGGTACTAATAATAGGCTCTGCAAGTTTGACTGGTTTTGAAGCCTAAATTTAAAAAAAAGTTTGAAATGAAAAAAAAATTTTAATTTAAAAAAAATCCTTTTCGAAATAACTCAAAAACTAAACAAGATACGTGAAAATGCAAGAGTTCAAAATTAAAGTTCTCTTTTTTTATAATATTTACGCTTTCTTTTAATTTTTCTGTAGAGCAAAAATTAACTGAGACATTACGATTTTTAGTTTGCATTTGCCTGTAAGCCCCACCTTCTTTGAGCCCTTAAAACCTAAAAATCTCGAAAACGAAGAGTTCAAGACCCTTCAACTATAAAGGTTGATTTGTAGCTCTTGCAATTCCNAAAATGTTGTCATAATGGGTACCAGGTAACGATATTGTTATTGTTATTGTTAAAAATGTTTGATAGTGATTCAGGGGAAATACCGAGCGATCCAGAATAATTGAAGCTGTCGTCACATATAAATGTTACGTAAGATATTAAAATTTACTTCCATTTGATCGAAATTACTTTCCATTTTCTTAGATTTCCTTCGGACACGATCTGTCAATTCAGAGACGTTCGTGCTGCCGTGTGCGCTTGCTGTTGTATTTATTTGTATTCACCGATTCTGTTTTTATTTTAATTTAATTTATCGTTAATCTTCTAAATAATATCAGTTTAGTTCAACGTTAATAATCTGTTAACTGTTAGTTTCGTGGTAAGTTTAACAGTAAGTAGAAAATTGCTCAAGAAACAAAAGTTACATAGTGTCGATGTATGCTTTCACCCTGGGGGTGAATGCCACCCCTTCTCGGGGGTGGCAATGAAGGCACCCATTTTAATCGCAAAAATCAATAGAGGGATGAATTCTAAGTAAAAAATGCTCCATAACGTTTTTTCCAAAAATTAATATTTTCCGAGTTATTTGCGATTGAAAATGTCGATTTTTCATCTAAAAAGTGCATGTTTTTCAACCATTTTTGATAAATAACTCGAAAACCTTGCGTTTTATCGAAAAACCCATATAAAGCAAAAATAAAGCTTTTGAAATAACGAATCGATTCATTTTTTGTTGATTACCGTAGATGTAATAATAACCGAGTTATCACTCTCTAAATGTGATTGTTTATTTTTCGGAAAGTAAAATCGAACTTTTACCGTAAAATAATGGCGAAAGAACTAATTTTTCGAAGAAAATGAATACAACCTTTTTTAAAGTGCTTGGAAAAAACTCGCGGAGTTATGTTGGAAAGAAAATAGTCATCTCATTTTTTCGGAGAAAAAATCAACAATAAAATCTATGGCTAAACCATAAAAATAGAAACTAAGCGTAATCCATGTACAGTTGACTTTATTTAGGTACTAATAATAGGCTCTGCAAGTTTGACCGGCTTATAATGCCTAAATTTAAAAAAAAGTTTGAAATGAAAAAAAAAAATTAATTTAAAAAAAATCCTTTTTTTCTAAATAACTCAAGAACTAAACAAGATACGTCTCTTTTTTATAATATTTTTCCTCTCTTTCAATTTTTCTGTAGAACAAAAATTAATTGAGACATTACGATTTTTAGTTTGCATTTGCCTGTAAGCCCCTTCTTTGAGCCCTTAAAACCTAAAAATCTCGAAAACGAAGAGTTCAAGACCCTTCAACTATAAAGGTTGATATGTAGCTCTTGCAATTCCCTGCAAATTTCTTTTTGGAGCGATAAAAAATATTAAAACTTAAAAAAGTTATCGTGAAAAAACGAATCGTATTATTCAGTGAAAATTGTCGGATCGTGTAAATGGCTTAATTTTTTATAGTTTCCGAGGCGTAATATACGAACAAACACACACACGCACATGTCCAAACAGAGGAAGTCGACAGTGATGATATGTAAATTTTTGATAATAAAATATAATAATTGTATAATGCACAAATAATTTTTATTTTCCCTTTCACTAATTACATAATTTAAGTTTGAAGTTTTAAGTAATCTGGTTGAATTTAGTAATGTATCGTTGAGTGTTTTGAAACAGGTAAAAATTCTTCAATTCCTCATTAAGGGTTGTTTTTAAGGGTTGAAACGTTGCAATGAATCATCAGTGGGCGGTTTTTGAGGGTTGAAACGTTGCAATAAATCATGTATTATTTCATAAACAGTAAAAAATTTTCAATTCTTCATTATTGCTCCGTCAAAACATTTGAGAGCCGCGAAAACTATTTTTTTTTTCCTCAAAGGGTGGATTTTAAAGGTTGAAATGTTGCTACAAATCAAAAATTATTATTCAAAACAAAAGAATGCTTATTCTGTCGACATAACACTTAAATCTATGGTTTTTACGTTTCTTGCAAGAAGAGTTAGTTTTCACCATCTAAAAACAATAAGCACACATTATGGATATATAACTTTTGTAAAGGAGGGTGAAATGAGGTTACTCACCAATTTTCATGAAAATCGGTGCGTTTGTCAAGAATTCGGAGGTAATACCCTATTTTTACCGTTGATTACTGGACTATATCATGAGCTTATCTGCTTGGTTGCAAATGCAGTTTTTTAAATAAAGAAGCATGAAAATATTATTTATTAATTTGTCCTGGAAATTATCTTTTCGGGAAAAAAGCAAATATTCTGTCATGTGTACTATATCTCTTTATTTAACAAAAAAATTAACTTAAATAAACACTGCAACATAATACAAATTCATATCGACGTATGGAAGAACTGAATCACCCTCATCAGCAGTCTGTTCTGACTTTCCATCGACAAATCATTGAAGGAAATATTTTCGTAAACTTCCTCATAGTTATCCCCGTTTTTCTTTCTCAAAACCTCCGCCAATCGGTCAGATTTACCAGTAATGAGTATAACTCTCTTCCAAGCGTATTTCTTAAGTACGTTTGTAATTTTATCAGACATCGCCTCTGTCGAAACCGCGTCGGAAGCTTTGAAGCAAGCTACCAAGGTGTCGTACCCAGACCTTTCGAACGCTTGCACCATCTCGATCTGTGTAGCAAAATATTCGTTGGGACTCAAAAAGAGACACTTCCGTTTAGTTGTGTACAAAGCGCAGTACGCTTTTATCATGTTCAAGACATACCCCCTTCTGGATTCAATATGCAGCAGTCGCTTTGTCCTGCTGTAGCTCAGGCTGTCGCCATCGACGTGCATGTGGAAGTTGCGCAGCTTCTCGCAGAATTTGGTGCTGCGGAACTCGCTGAGGAAGATCTTCAGTGTGTCTCGGGTGAGGTACCTTCCTTGCTTTCCCTCGAACCACTCCATCATCTTGTTGTTTACGAACTTGGCACAGTCCTTGGTTTCGTATTTGTTGCAGTGTTGTTCTCCGTGAAGCATCTCTTCGATGACGACATCCAGATCGCCTTCCGTGGGGTAACCGGTAACCAGCTGGAATTTAGAAAGAAATTCCTCGACTTGATCGTAGTCGAAAACGTTTTCGTGAAAGCTTTGATTTTTCAAATTATTTTCTTTGTACTCCTTTACTTTTTCAATCAGGAAAGGTACGACGGTTTCATCGAAAGTGTAGCACTGGTGATTCATATCTTTAAAATACAAAAGGTCGTTGTCTCCAAGGGACCCCTTCTTGATTTCCCTGGCGCTACACCCTTTAGCGACCCTTAGCTCGGTGTTAGTACACAAAATCATCTTTTGAACATCGAAAGTGCTTTTTATCTTTTGATAAGAAAGGTAGTACATAGGAAGACTGAAGTCATCTTTGTCGGAGTTTGTTTGGTACAAGTCGTCGTAGGTAACACATTTCTTCTGCCTGTGCTTGGCTTGAAGTAAGAAAGCTTTCATTGCATTTCCTCCTTCGGGCGGGGTCTCCAACACCACGTCATCAAATTTACCCGCGCATTTATTTTCTGTGGACAGCCAAAAGCTGTCGTTGAGCTTCGACGCTTTCAACAGATAAATCGTGAGTAGGTCTATTTGGTACAGGCTACCCTTTATACCTGCCGAGCCACTCAGTTTCGAGTAGCATTTCCTTGTAGGTATAACTCTGTCTTCTTTTTCTTCTACCTCTCCTTCCGGCTCCACCGTCGATTCCTCCAGTGATAACTTAAGAGAGGGTGTTTCGTACCTGTCGAAGCAAAGACTAACGTAATCGTTGTCGCGTACACAAATGACAGCTTCCTCCACATCTGCCTTGATCTTCCAGGGGTAATTTCCCAGGAGGTTTTCCTCCGGGTCAAATATGCAAGGTACTTCTTTGTCTTCCGTGAACACCACTATGACTGTATTTTCTAGAGCTGAGATAATGGGAATTTCCTTTAAACTAACTGCTTGCTCTGAAGAAGACAGTCCGTCAGTAAGACCCTTATAAAGTGTGAAGTAGTCTTCATCTGATTCTATGGCATTTAGGATTTTCTCCAGTCGCTCCTTGAGAGGTTGTGGTTTCGTTAGGCTTTGGAAATATGTGAGGAAGTTCAGCGAGCATCTCCTCCTAAAGTTGGCGTCTCTGTCTAGACGAGGCCGTCCTTCGCCAAATACTGCATGGAAAAAACTGTTGCCGCCAGATACAGTAGGCTGTGGGCGCCATCTCCTGCCGTTGTAAGTGTACTCTTTTTCGGACATCTTACCTGAGGAAGAAAGATGAACGCCCATTAGGGTAACTAGGAACATGGTCGGAAATTATACAGGGTGATTCAGTCATAATGTCATTAATTTTAAGAGCAGGTAGAGAAAAATGAGTATAATACGGTGGCGCAGGCCCGGATCCAGAGGGTGTGGCGATGTGGCGATCGCCACCCCCAAAGCACAACATTTTTTAAAGATCTTCAATTTCTCCAAACGACAACAGGCAGTTAGTCGATATTAATGCAAGT